GCGGCGTTGACATCATCGCCGGAGAATAGGAACGCTCGCACTAGTGCACCAGAAGAAGTAACTTGACACATCTTCATGTTTGGCCTTGTGCATCGATAAAATAATGGGGGGTCACCCAATTAGTCTGATCAACATCAATGTAATGACTGTCAGTAGTATAGGTTTTCAACAACCTGAGGCACTCATTAACAGTACTCCGACAATGGTTACATCGCGAACCACATCAAATTCGGGCTTTTATTAATGGTAATTTATAAAGTTAAAGCCTATTAAACCCCACAGGATCTGTACACACTGGGCTTGGATTACAGAAAACCGAAGCTTCATTCAAACTACGGCGGATGTGGTGATTGCTCATAAACTATGAACCATGTACATTCCAACTTTCTGCTTAGTACAGTTCGATTCCGTTGCTGAGTCCTCTGTTCTGATTTCATTTCGAGTCCTAGTTCCGGGTTGAACTATAACTGCGCGGATTTTGATGCGTATACAAATTACTAGTGCTAACCAAAGCAAATGGCCGAAGATCGATCGCACGGATGACGTTTCCATATTTGATCTGTACAGGTTAGCAGATGAATCAATGAAACCAATTGTTCGCCTCTGGATGTATGTTCTCATTATTATGATCAAATAACGAATTATCACGCGCATTCACCTATGCTGAACAGTTACGAGTGACAATGTTTCATCGATTCGTGACAAGTGGAGGTGGAAGACAGCTCCAGGTATCACATACTTGGAGGCTGAAAGGGTGACATCTGCAGTCTAGCCGACTCTTTTGGAACCAATGTTTAAATGGATGTCCCTTGAGGTGACCAGTCCTTCCTTGATAGTGTCAGTAGAGTACTGCACGAATGGTTGATCGATGATGTAGTATTTGATATACGAGGATCATGTATCCCCGTATTCGACGATATTCAGATGAATAGAGTCCGAAGTTTTGGAGTTCTTCAACTCAGGTCTTGAATTTTAACCCGTAGATCATTTCCGTTGCTGTTCTCTGTGGACGTTCCATTACCTTTTTGTTACGATTTGCATAGTGTGTTCAATGTGGTCCAATCTATACCGAGGCCAAACGGGGAAATAGGTTTGTGTCGAATGGTCCTAAAGCACGTTGGACCAATCCACCTTGCTTTCGGGTCATTGATGACACTAACACACTGTTCTATGCTCACTCGAGCAAACCCACACACACACTCAGATCCTTTCCTTTCGGAGCATAAATTACAGGACATGTTCGTAAACGCATTCTTTACCGCATACGCCAGCATAAACATTGGGATACTGTGAAAAACATCACCCATTTGGCCACTGAAACAACACTGTAACGGATGAAACTTTTGTAGATCAGTGAACAGAACTCAATTCATTGGTCAAAGAATTTATATGGAATGAACTCGGGAGAAGAACAAGACATCCAAAACATCAGGTCTCCAAAGGCACATTACAATCACTAGCCGAAGCACACGAAGGTAGTAGTGAACACCGCAGGCTGCAAAGAGGCTTTACACACCGCTAAGGCTGACCGCAATGTACGGGATGGTGATAGCCCGGAAAATAAAAACGTCATTTGGTACGCACTTCGACAAACCAGTTCACCTCATTCCCAGAACTTCGAACAGCAGTCGCAAGCTGCAATCACTTTAGCATAACGCAACCGGTCGTGTCATACGAGGAAGAATCGATGAAAAGGAATCTCCGGCAGGGTACTTCGATCGGCTGCTCAAACAACTCCATCGGATAGAACTACCAACCTCGGCTACTAAGAATTTCGAGAAGTTATCCGAGCTCTGCCGAGTGTAAATCAAATCACTTCCTACATCTATTAAGTTGAAAGTAGTTCGGGAAGATAGGAAGTCTGATACCGTCATAAATCGGTAGGTCACGAGACCGGTTTTGCATTTCTAAGACGAAATGAAACATCTCGGATGAAATCAGAGTAAGCTCACATCACTGTCCATCCTCAAAGGTGATAAGTTGGTGTGACCACTACCGAGGTTTTATCAGTTTTATCGTTATCGCAAACAAGAATTGTCACTACACAACCGCCTTTGTAAGGCAAAACATAGACGCACGTGCCCGGACCAAATTGCTATATCCTCGCAGTCACGGTTTGAACTAAACACCTACTCTGCGTTGATCGCCGTTGCACCGCTGTAAGTTCATACCACCAAAAACTGCCAGCATCATCGACTAGCTGCCTTCGACCTGGCCAATCGTGTCTCCTTGGGTGGTTGACAAAAGATTACCCGAGAAAACCTCAAGGGTACCAAGGTGATACCACTTGATTACCAGCTTAAGGNCTTAAGGGTCCACAAGTGTGATAAAGATACTTTGAGCTCTGCGATCAGCCAAGGCTACCCACTTCCGTTGATGCTAATTAACTACTTCGTCGACAAGACAGAGACATTTCCTGATCGGATAGTCTGTAGTTTAGCTAAGTTAAACCGCATGTCTAATCTGAGGTTAATGGATATACCATGGTCCCGGAAAACCCACCTGCTAATCTCTGTTCTGGGCTCGACCGCATCGTTCTTCGCATAGTATATCGAGTTAGAGATGAATAGATCGGAAACCGAGGTATCCTTAATCTGATCAATGCCGTCAGTTCTGCAGCTGTTCATCCACGGGCAGCCTATTGAGTGTGTACGATCGCTCGCTTACCTGGGCTCCGCCTGGCTTTCGAAAGATCCAATAAACCATGTACAATTACTGATAGACAAATCCAGGAAGACCGTTCTGCAGTCACGGCGGACCCATTGCGAAATCGCTCTGGGAATCAAAGATCGTATTCACATTGGCACTATCCGCACCGTACAGATGCAAATCCCGATCTCTCCGATCCGGAGACACCCGGAGGCTGGAAGCAATGAGCGAATAGCATCTACTCCAAATCGTCAAAGAGAAATGGTGGCAGAATATAACGAAGAAACCAAGAGACGACGCTAGCGCAGTGCGAAACTGTTTGTCCTTCTGTAAAGCCGTGAGCTGGAAAGATGGAACCATATTCTCATGTGACCAGAAACTAATCTAATTAAACTGTCAGTGCTGATCACTATGATGGCTGGCGGAGTTGCTTTGAGGGACAGCTCAAAACGATTGATCTAAGGGAAGAATAGTTGAGTGACGATCCGGTCCCCAAACGCCGCGACTGGGCAGCAATGATTCACGATGCCAGCGAGGAGCTTTAAGGTAGTTTTCATCAAGTTAATTCGCGGTTGTCACGAGGAGAAATGCCTTTCTTCGCAAGTCGGTAAAATGGCTAGTTCGGACCATTGTCTAATAACTATCGTATTGAACGTAAAACTTTCGTCGATTCTAACAACAAACCCCTAATTTTTGCATTTGGATAGAATCAGAGGTTTTGAACCTTCTCCAAGAGCTAGCCACGTAAAAGTTAACGAGTTTTGAAGTAACAACCCCGAGTACTCTTTGTTTCAGTTTATTTTACTCAAATATTTGACTGTTTGGTTGTTCTAGCTTACGTATCTCGAAAAAGGGAACTATTTGACAGGATAAAACATGTTCGTATAGAACACACTCGCGGCCTCACTCTGATACCCCACCAACCCATAAAATGTAGCCAAATGGGTTCCCGGTCGAAAATAAACTCCTGAATACCTAAATCTTAGAGTCGATTGGTCACTTGCATGCAGTCAATACGCCACTAAGGAAGCAGTGCGGACTTCATTCGACTGAGACCCCGTAGTTTCGTGCAACAGATTACACAGAGCGTGATGAGGCATACAATGGGCGTGTTACGGAAACTACCTTGAGCTATGAGCCACATGTGCAACAGGCTAAAACCAGTCACAGTTTGTTCTAATAAGTGTTGATGAACTAAACCCTTAGGGGCCAGTGAAATTAATTCGAACAGTCAAGGATTGTCTATTCCATCATATTCCAATCGGTCGATTACAGGACATTTGGAATGAAAACTTTCATCTAGGCTTGTAAAAGTTCTCTCCATTTACCGTGCTCATGCGCGTGTGTACATCAATATGTGTGGGTGGCACTCTCTTCTACATACCACAAATGCTAGATCGGAAATAAGTGTGTCAGCCAGGTCACTTATGGGGTACTCTCATTGACCCAAATCACTGCGCGATAGGATAGAGAACTCGAAATGTTGCTCGACGAAACAACCAACACGTTGTCATAAACACGGATAAAATTATGCTGTTTACAACACTTGCGTGCACAGGGTAGTCTGTGAAAATGAACACTAGCGAAATATGGTTTCAACACTCATAAGTACAAACCCCGAAACAGACGCGAACATGCAAACTGGTCTTGAGAATAGATTTCGGTGAGTGTGTAAATGTGCACACACACACACACACACACACACACACACGCCACAGACAAAAAAAGAGTAGCCTAACGGGGTCATCATTTTCAGATTTCATATGATGCATTCCTAGGGGTGGGGGAATACGGGTCAAGTTGGGAGGGCGGAGATGGGAATAAGAATGGAGCGTGAGAGTAACGCGCGGTAAGAAACGCATTTGGATGAACAGCGGTCTGTCCGGGTCGAACGCGACGTGTATGTGTTTACATGCATACAACAAAATATTGCTGAGCAAGATGGCCTTGATGTGTACTGAATGTATGAATAAATGGGTGCACGTGATTTGTTGTGTGAGTTAGTGGAAGAAAGAAAGAAAGAAAGCCGAATGGCTGGTGTAGGTGGGGTGGGTGGAGACCAGTTTAGTGGGTTCCCAAAAGCAAAATAGATCTTGGGAATGCATTATTCCTGTCTGCGAATAGCAAAAGTAGTAAAAATGCAAGACGGACGAGCGGTGATAGTGGAGTTATCAGTGCTTTTCTTATGCTGTGTATCATCCCAGCTCAGGACCAAAGGGATAGGTCTGGGATCTGTCGGAGCAGTGCGCGCACACACACACACACGCACGCACGCGAGTGTGCGGGAGAAAACAGTGGCAAGAGCAGAACTAATAAAAACGATTCGGTACGTTTTTTATTTGTCTGTTTCGCTAGTCGCACATATCCACCTCATGCGGACCTAGAATACCGGGAACGGTAGCCTGACGTCGTAATTTGGCCGCTTGTGCTTGGNCTTGGGCGATTTCGGCCTCACGTTCTTCCAAGTACAGATCGGACAAATCCTCGCCGGCCACCTCACGGATTTGGACCAGGAAATCACGGACATGCTCACGGAAAGCCGCAACATCCTGATCGAACGAGAACAGACCGTCAATAAATATGCGAACCTGAGCGTCCTGTAGGTGTGGAAATACGGATGTGAGCAACTGGAGCAAACTTTGATGGACAAACTGCACATTGGGTTTGGTCTCCGGCGGATAATTTCCCGCAGTAACCTCGCCCAGGGGCTCAGTAATCACATCATTTTCCACAATTTCGAACATGAAAGCCAGTATGGTGCACTGAAGCGTCAAATCTGGAAATAACATTAAACAGAGGGAAATGATCGATTATTATCCCGATTATTCTTGCACCTATTCATATGGATCGAATTGCTAAAGAAAATCCAAGCGGTTTGTTAGCCATCTTTATTCATCCGCCGAGATTAGTAATTGAGCATTAGTAAGCCAAACATCAATGCTCTAACCAAACTGTTTATTGGTGGATGTGCACAAACATAAAAAGGTATTTCATAAGAATGATATCGGATTTGACCAAAAAATTATGATAAGTGTGCGGCATGTGTAAGAAGTCTGTCTTAATCAGGTGGTCGGTGGTTTTGTTGTGGAGTCCTATGACAAAATCACTGAACTCATACACCTGAGCCAAAGCTTCGATATAGTAGCACTCGTAGGTGATTTTATTGCGGGGGTTGGAAAACTGAGCCCATTTGCAGCCTGTGTAGGACTCTTTGCCCTGACCGCCCAGCGTGTACACAACAGTGAACGAGCACTCCGGTTGTGTGTGAATCATCTATTGTTATCATCTAGTACCGACGTCAGCTCGCGAAGAGCCTCGAGAGAGATCGTGAAAAAGGGTGAGTAACAATGGTTAGTGAAGTGGAAGTAGTGGATGCATCAGAGAAAAGTCAGAGACTGTTCCAACTGATACGCAACCCGGGAGGTTGGCGAACCACAGTTAGTGAAACAATCTGCGACAAAAGTGGACAAACTATCCACAATGGGGAACAACGGCTTGACCGGTGGGTGGAGTACTTCAACGAACAGTTACTTTGGTCAAACGCTATCTCCACTGGTGTAGTTGAGGCCCCGTAGAAAGTGTTATCTGAGCCTACTACTACATCATCATCATCATCATCATCGTACAGCGAAATACAGAGAAGCGAACTTCACTGATAGCTGTTAAACTCCCAATGCATATGCATTGCGGTTTGATGGACGGTTACTGCTCAGGTATCCAGCCACTAAGCAGAACGATTAGGGTTCTCAATCAAAGCCTTTAGTTCTGACGAGAACCTAGCCGCAAGGCAGCGGGTGAAGCGAAGTGGAGACCCATTTACTTGGATCAATTACTCCTCCATCATTTTTTTTACCGATCGAAACGCAAATTCTGGTCGAACCCCCCACCTGGAGGACCAGGAGACTGAACTTCGTCCGACCTCTACCCTTCGATCTTCCAGGCATCATTAGATTTTCAGCTTGAAAAAAGCCATTCTGTGTAGCTCGTTGGGTCAGAGAGGCACCATCACACCACGTCAAGGTGCAGTCTCGTCGTGATTAAGTTGGATCTTGTATCCAAGTTCTGAAGAAAGGAAAAGCATCAGAACGGATGGGCTTTCTTTCACTATTTTCATGATAGGGGGCGATGACCTTGTAGACTCTGTCACTGATTTTATGCACAACATCTGATCACACGGGTGCAGTTCATCATTCTGGAGCGAATCACTGATCGTTAATATTCTCGAGAAAGGATCTCGCAACGACTGCGCAAAACAACCGTGGAACAACTTAAATCCCAATAATCACCAAGGTATTAGTCCCCATCATATTTTGACATCTGACACCGTTTAGGCAGACATATATCCGCAAAAAACAAGCAGGATTTCGACCAGGTTACGGTTGTATCGAGCAAACCTTCACTCAGAGTCAAGTATTCGAGCTGCACCATACACGCTGTCGATCAACGGTTCTCATGTTCCTTGACCTAAATTCGGAAAATATATTTTCGCATTCATCGAGTGGCATCTGTCAAGCGGTACCCTAGGTTGTCACTCGAGAAACATCACGGGTACCAACTTGAATTTTGTACGTCTTATTTTCCAATGCGATCTCAATGGCTTTCTTATCTCCCTTCTTCTTGGCTACTTAATGATAATTTCAACTTGGTTGTACGAGATTTTGATTGCGCATCGATAAATACACCAACTATTCCAGTCGACCTGGTTTGTGCTCTCCGATGACAGACAATTCTTTCCTCGACACGCTTATCTCTTACAAAAATAATCACCGAAACGCCAAAATCGACCTACGTACATTACTTAGCTCAGCAATTCGTCAATATGCGTCTTACTAGGTTGTCAACTTTTACAGTGACACAACCTAGGGAATTTTCGAAGTTTTCTGTCCGACTGAAACCATTTGTCAAACACAAAAGATTGGTACCAAAATCGTACCGAACAGATCCTTTGTTTGGCCATTTCAGCTTTCTTTCCCTGAAAACGTTTTTTATGGCCAGTGAGATCTTTTTCAACTGATGCGCTAGCTACAAAGCTAGCAAAGTTCTGCAAATTTAAATACACATTCGAGTGCCACAAGGCTACTTTGCAACTTTGCGGGACAAGCAAACAACGAAATTGAACTGCTCACAGGTAACACAGTTTTGGAGTTGGAACATCCCGATGACAGTGCACTTTTTTTCTTTCTCTTTTTACTTCCATTTATTTATTTGAATATACAAAGAGACAGTTCTCAGGAAACGGGAAGCGCGCAACCAAAGGGCTGCCATTCAACACACACCTAATGGGGAAAGTCAGGCGGTGGTGCTGGGATTCGAACAC